TAGAGAGAGAGATAGATATAGAGAGATATAGAGAGAGAGATAGATATAGAGAGATATAGAGAGAGAGATAGATATAGAGAGAGAGATATAGAGAGATAGAGAGAGAGAGATATAGAGAGATATAGAGAGAGAGATATAGAGAGATATATAGAGAGAGATATAGAGAGATATAGAGAGAGATAGATATAGAGAGATATAGAGAGAGAGATAGATATAGAGAGATATAGAGAGAGAGATAGATATAGAGAGATAGATATAGAGAGATATAGAGAGAGAGATAGATATAGAGATAGATATAGAGAGATATAGAGAGAGATAGATATAGAGAGATATAGAGAGAGAGATAGATATAGAGAGATATAGAGAGAGAGATAGATATAGAGAGATATAGAGAGAGAGATAGATATAGAGAGATATAGAGAGAGAGATAGATATAGAGAGATATAGAGAGAGAGATAGATATAGAGAGATATAGAGAGAGAGATAGATATAGAGAGATAGAGAGATAGAGAGATAGAGTTCTGAGTGGGAGGAATTTGGTCTGCTATAAACTATAGTGATGGTTTATAAAACCACATCAGACGCAATCTGTCGAGTCTACGTACCCTTATCGAAGACTCTTTTGGATCCAAGATGTCGGGGAGTCCGTGAACCCCATGGTACCGAAGTCCGTAGAGAAAACGCAGTACGACCAGGTCAGTCCAGAGTCGTCTCCAGGTCACGACAAACAGGTGGACTTGTTTCGCGTCTATGGAGGACTCTTAAGGAGTCGGAGCTGGTTCGGCTTTATTCTGAAAGAACTGTTTGCGGTCAGCTGTAGCGTCCAACAGGTTTTGACAGATTGTCAAAGATGCGACAGGAGAAGAGGCTTCCTCCGATGGCCAGTCAGAGTTGGACTCAACTGAATCACTCAGGAAGTGGTTCTGTTTTAATAATGGCCATATTTTGGTTTACTGACAAATCAGAACTTGCCCTGTAAAGGGGTTTTGCCAACAAACTCAGATACACACCTCCCTCAGATATGAAGATGCTGATTTTGTGGATAAGAACATATCTATGTGCAGTGACATTAATTTTAACTTGCGTCATGGAGATATGGTGAGTGTGTCTTGTCCAGTCAGTGCTCTGATTAAATATATGGGTCATATGTTTCATTTCATCCTTATTAATCTTTCAATGTAATAATAATAATATTCATTTCAACTTCAGTAATTTAAGCACAGATTAATCAAAACATCTCATTTAACCATATTGTCCGTTTCATCATATGATTAGTAACTCATATTGTTCATTACATGATCTAATTATGAAAGTTCATCCATCTTGTTCTGTGAAGAAGAGCAGTCTTAGATTAGAGGGAGCTTGTAAGGGACCTTGGGCAAGCAACAGTATCCTTCTTGCAGAATAAAGGCACCAGTTAAGACTTTTCTCTCCAAATGGTCGGATACTGAAGAGGTCAAACTGTAGGTGGATAACTGACCATTTCTGGAGGCTACTGTGTGTGTGTGTGTGTGTGTGTGTGTGTGTGTGTGTGTGTGTGTGTGTGTGTGTGTGTGTGTGTGTGTGTGTGTGTGTGTGTGTGTGTGTGTGTGTGTGTGTGTGTAAGGCGGATCAGAGTGATGTGGGGTCATTTTAATCTGTAAAGAACTTTGAGCTGCATCAAATGTATAACAAGCACCTTATAAACAAAATTTGCCTTGTTTAATGAGCACCAACAGAGCCACAAGCTCTGGTATGGTAATGAGAGTTAACGTGATGAGCAGCTTCTCTCTATAATGGAGACAGCGGGTGGAACCAGGACCCAACTGGGGGAGTTCCCAGTGAGCAGGTGTTGTATGTCGGCATTTTTAGTCATCTGTTTTTTTGGGCCGGTGCTACTCTGTAGATCACCTGCTGCTGATGAGAGGATTTCTCCTGTCAGGAACAGGTGAGCTGTTGCCAACCCTAACCCAACAAGCTTCTGCTCCTAGAGACACATTCTAGCCCAGAGTGACCTGTTATTTATAGTTTTATAATTAATATTAGGTGAATGCACTAAAGCCACAGGTGATGGAAAATCAGATGAAATAAGCCTGAACATGTTCTCCCACAGCTTAGCTCTGTTAGAAAGAAGCAGATGTCTGCTTCAGCTGGACAACATCAAGTATAAAAAGTGTTCACAGATCTTTAATGAACAAACAATGTTCATCATTTTTTATTTTAGTATTGTGTATTTCATTTCATTTCTAAGGTCTGGATGTCTGTGAACATTACTGAATATTCTGACTGGTGTAAATAATACACAATATTGTTAATACCAGGTCTGGATGTGGTTCGGTCTGAGGTATAAAACTCTGCCCTGGGCCTAAAGCCCTGCAAATACATTTAGTTTCTATAAACAACAACAACAAATAAATAACAGCAGCTGGATTCTAACTTGTTCCTTAAGCTGAGTCACGTAGTTTAACAAGTTCTGCAAGCTCACACGTTCACCAGCAGCTCTGCCAGCTGATTGGTTCTGTAGTAACTAGTGACATCATACAGGTGTGATCCTGAGCAGCATGGATGCATCAGAGGATTTCTTTGTAGTCAGTGTTCATAATGGATTAAAGACAAGGATGTATGATCAGTCACATAATATTATAATACCATCAACATGTACAGACACCTTATTATGTACCTTATTATATATATATATATATATATATATATATATATATATATATATATATATATATATATATATTAGTGGTGGGCATAGATTAATTTTTTTAATCTAGATTAATCTCACTGTAATCTTGGAATTAATCTAGATTAAAATGGCACATTCAAATTCTGCCAAAGGCATATGTGTGTGCTACCTAGATAATGAATAAAAGCAAGTCGTTGAGAATGGAGGCGTATTTCTTGTTTCAGTAATGCATCACAGACTGATAAAGCAGTTTTACTACGATAACTGATGATGAAAATAAATAATGATCAATAAGTATTTGTGTTTAATAGCTGTTTATTCAGTTCAACAAATTCTGCACTGTAGGTCAACAGAATAGGTCATGATTAACTATTTACAGTCAGTAGCATTTGGTCAATCAGTCCAAGCTCTATTTCTCCTTCTTCCACCAGTCACTCAAGCAGACCAGCTTGTTCACATTGTCTGGTGACAAACTAGTTCTTCTCTTCTACACAATATGGCCTGCTAAAGAAAAAAGTATATACAGTAGATACACACACACACACACACACACACACACACACACACACACATACATACATACATACATACATACATACATACACACACAGAAACTATCTGGCCTGGGGAGGGGGTTAAATTTCTGGGGTGCCCTTCCAATGCCCCCCTTTAGTTTGCATGTAGAATCGCCTCTGGTGAATAGGAGCGAGAGCTGGAAATGATGCCACAGCTCACCTGTATGAGCAGAAGCCAACTGCTGCTGTTGTTGCCTCTGAAAATGGCAAGGGGAGTTATCCTAGCTCAACTTTTCTAAATAAATATAAGAATTTATGAGTAAAACGTTTATTATTACAGGTAAATTTGAGTCGAAGCCACATGAACAACGACCTGTAGAAACACTTTATCACAATAAACAGCCGCTAAAAGAGCTAAACTTAGTTGGAAACCGCACCTGTCTGAGAAAGTCGTCTCGGTTTTCTCACACGGGGGAAAGCCCGGCTGGAAATGTCGGAGGTAACAGGGGCGTGTCCAGGGGGTGGCCTGTGGTAGCACATGCCACCCTTGGAATCTGATTGGCCACCCCAGGTGCCACCACACTAATTTACCTTTAAATAGGCTTTTCATTGTCCACAAAAGGCTTGGGGGTAAAACAAAAAAGTATAACCACTGGTGCCACCCATGCACAAAGTTGTGCCTCACCTGGGCCACCCCAGTTTAAAATATCTGGACACGCCACTGGGAGGTAAACAAAACAAAATAAAAAGAATGAAAGTCGGATTTATGGATTAAACTCTGGTTAAAGTACATAAATTATTTACTTGTCCCGCGCTATGAGATGGGAGAAGCGCTGCTGGTGGCGACGGTGCGACTGTTCGGCTGCATGGGGAACATTAAACTCCGCGAGCCTGGCGTCCGTCCATACCATACCTACGATGATCCGCGCTGAGTACACATCCGCGCCAACCAGGTATCCATCCACGCAATGTGAAAGCCATCATAGTTTACTTAGTATAGACCCAGATCCCAACCCAACTTTGAGAATAGATTAACGGCGTCATTTTTTTTATCGCGCGATAAGAGTCTGGCTTTGCCGCAGCGCGTTAACGCCGATAACGGCCCACCCCTAATATATATGTGTGTGTGTGTGTGTGTGTGTGTGTGTGTGTTTCACTTATAAATTCAAGTTATCATCCAACATCACTTAAATTTTTGGGAAGTCTTTAAACTCATCTTCTTCAGGCTTAGAGTGAAGAAGAAGAAAGTATCATTTCTGTAGCGCCTCTCAAGATAAAAATCACGAGGCGCTTCACAAAAACAAAAAATGTAAAAATATACAAAAGAATTTAGAAAATGATTAAAAATACATTTAAAATGAGCAAAAAATAGACAATTGTGATTAAAAATGTAAAGAAAGAGAGAGAGAGTGAATAGGAGGGAAATCAGTGGATCCTGAGGAAGGTGGAATAGGTGGGGAGGGCAGGAGCTTTGTCCTCCATGAAGGAGCAGGCTTAACACCAAAATCAGCAGCCATGCCAGAGGCCCAGGAGATAATACCAGTAAGCTCTTAGGCCCGACCCAATGCTGCTCAGGCCATGGTGGATCCAGCGGTCTAAGGGGGCCCAGAACCTGGACCTGGCCCCCAGGCAGCCAGGAGCGAGATGCCACAACAGTGTTTGTCCACTTTCACCTGCAGCTTAGCAAATACAAGTTATGACTGCTTCACCAAAAACTGTTTGACTGTCTGTTGAAAGGAGGAATGACATGTTTTTTAAATTCATTGTTTAAATTGTTTCAGCATAGTTCTTAGAAACGATTGTTTGATTTTCAGTTCCATTTTCCTTCTCCTGCTGCTCCCAGAATGTGTTTTTTAACCCCACCTTTGAGCTGGAGGGGGAGCGAGAAGAGAGGGTGGAAGGATTCAGGATTTCTTCCTGCACCCCTGAGCCCATCAAGCCACCAGCAGCCAGTAAGAAATCCAACAAGTTTACCCATCTGCAGGATAAGAGCTGGACTGCACCCCTGGATCATTTAGTGACTGTTGAAGGAATATTGTGTGTGTCAGGCCCAGGCTGTGGGGTTTTTGAAGCGTGTGTGATGCGTCTGTGGGGACCAGGTCGTGGCTTGGGGGTGGTGGTGATCTCTGCTGTAGCCCTGCTCCTGGTAGCTGCTCTGGGACTGGCCCTGGCCCTCATTCTGACTCGTGAGTCCCTCCTGCACCTTACATCTCGTCAGCACTAATTTATTTCATATGATCAATTGTATTTATGAACCTAAATGGTGCGTACACGGTTTAAACACACCACGTAGGTTCAAGACAATTCCCAGGTGTCTTGTTGGAAGACTGCTAGAATTCTCTGACCAAAGGAGAACATCACACAATGTCCTTCCCTTGTGCAGAGATGAAAGGCCAGACCCTGGAGGACCAGTCACTGACCACAGCTGCTCCTGACCTGCAAAGTGCTGAACACAAAGCATCCCAGATGTCACCAACGGTCCCTTTGTTCAGAGGTCAGATGGTCAGCACAGTTTCACCACATTCTGCCACAACCCCCCCAACTGAAACACGTAGGTCCATCCCTCACCCAAAAGATGTGCAGCTGTTTTCTTTATTCTGCTTCACCTGATTGAACTTGTTTCTTTCAGGTTGTGGGGGGGTTCTGAATGACTCGGTGGGCAGCTTCAGCTCCCCAAACCACCCAGGCTCCTACCCTCCTAACTCCCTGTGTGTGTGGGTGATCCGTGTCCCGGCTCCATACCTGGTCCAGATTCGTGTTTCCTCTCTTGCAGTGGAGGGGCCGTCTCCTTGTCTGTTTGACTGGTTGGGTGTCCAGGAGCAGACCGAGCAGCGCACAGTGGTCAGCAGGTCAGTCAAACATCCAGTAGGTGGCGCTAAACACACGCGAATGTAAGGAGGGCTTTTCAAAGTATTCTTGGCTTCATGGAAAATGTGAAAGACTCACCTTTTCCTTATTTTCTTTCCTGGAAAATGTTGCAACTCAATTGAAGAAATTCTAAAAAATTGCAAAATCCTATAAAAACAGAGTTTCAGTGTTCATCCCTAAAGGTTGTTCAAAGGAAGGTATTGAAAGCACAAATATGATTCCAGTGAGTCTTCTTCCTGCAGGTTTTGTGGCAACGTTGCTCCACCAACAGTTAACTCCAACAGCAGCACAGTGTGGGTCACCTTCCGCTCTGACGCCAGCATCACAGGCAACGGCTTTGCTGCACAGTACAGAGCTGTGCTCCCCAGGCACAGTTAGTGTCCTGCATTAGCACATTTGTGTTGCTGACCGTCCTTTTTTCTGCAAGTTTCTGCTGTGCGTGTCCTCAGAGAGCTGCACCAGAGAAGAGTTCATGTGTGACGGCGGCCGCTGTCTGCTGCCTGTGTCTGTGTGTGACGGACACCCAAACTGCGACGATCAACAGGATGAAGCAAACTGCAGCCACAAGCACAAGGGTGAGAGCTGATGGTGTGTTCAGCACAATAATACAGGTTCAGGACACAAAACATGTGAACAATGCTGCTTCAACAGAGTGTGGAGGCCAGACCTTTGGGCCGTACGGTTCCCTGGCGAGTCCAAATCACCCCAAGCCTTATCCTCACCAACAGGTAGAGCTAAAAGGACGCCATAACACCAGAAACATAGAAGATACAGGACAGTGACACATTTTTGTGTGTTTTCAGTTGTGTACATGGCACATAGCAGTTGACAAAGGTCATGTCATCACGCTGAGCTTCAGAAACTTCAGCCTGGAGACTCAGGATGTGTGTGAGTTTGACTACGTGGAGGTTCACGACAGCAGCAATGCTGAAGCTGGACGGCTCTTGGGGAGGTGAGCTATTCCACAGCCTCATCCTCCACGTTTGGTTATTTAAACACAGACTGTTTTGCCTACTCCAGATTTTGCGGAACCACCATCCCACCAGACCTGACCTCCTCTGGCTCTCACATGACAGTGGTGTTTGTGGCCGATGAGGGTGTGGCAGACAGCGGTTTCAGCGCCACATACCAGGCTGTTTTTGTTACGGACAGTGAGTTTTTACTGTGGTGAAAATCAAATCCACATTCAACCAAAGTGCTGCAGTTCCAGGAGGGGTGTGTGTGTGTTTATAAAACATTATGACATTTTAGATAAATGGAGTAAGCTACATGTATCTAAAGAAAATGACCATTTTTGTGTTGTATACAGGATGGGCCATGTATGTGGATACACCTTAGTACAATGGGAATGGATGGTGATATTAACATTCTGTTTGTGGCACATTAGTATATGTGAGGGGCAAACTTTTCAACATGAGTGGTGACCATGGTGGCCATGTTGAAATCGGCCATCTTGGATCCAACTTTAGTTTTTTCAACAGGAAGAGGCAGGGGCGTCAGAATGGGGGGGGGGGAAGGGTACCGTTTACCCAGGGCCCACTGCAGGGAGGGGCCCTGAGACAGCTTTGAATAAAAATGTTTTATTGTTGTTGTTTTTCCCCCAACTTACTTAATGTCTTAATAAACATCCCTTTACCTGGATAAAGAGGTTAAGAAACAGAATTTCGCCTTAAAAATAATAAATGAATAATCTCTGAGGCATCTATCACCCCTTAAAAATGTGCAAAGTGGTTTAGTCCACACCTGCGGCCAGGGGCTGCACGGCCGCCTGTACAGCTAATGAGACATCGCAGATGCCGACAGCCAGAGCTGGAGGCAGGAGAGTCAGTCATGTCTTTTCCCAAGAAAGGGAAATCTGGCTTCCAGAAAAGAAAAGAAAAGAAGGAGAAGGAGAAAAAGTTAATTGAACAGAAGCAAGTATTGACTAGGTTTTTCAAGGAGGAAGGTGAGCAGCAGCAGAACACAGTTTTAGCTGATATTAGCTAGCTCTCAGAAGCTGCATTCATGTTAGGTGTTCAGTGTTGAACGCCTTTAGCTTCACCATCAAGATCAAATATAAATTAATTAGTGTTATCAGTGAAAACACTAATTAATATATATATATTAAAATCAGAATTATTATCGCGGGCGGCCGCCGCCAATTAATTCGCGGACCTCGCAGTAAAAACAGGTTCACTCTGTGTGGATATTTCAGCTCCTTCCCAGTCATGGACCAGGACAAACTTGGTATCGATGGATTCGTGGTAATCTCAGGAATGAGAAGCTGCCGCTGTCTTTCGTATAGCATGATGACACTGGTGTTAGAGGATTGTTATTGACTTGGTTAGATATTTTAAGCCTATTTTAAATTTCTTTATATTTGATCTTGAAAACGGACAATCCTATAATTTGGCTGATAATGCAGGGATTATAAAATTTAGAGTACATTACATTCACAGAGAGAACCTGGTTTATTTCATGTCATATGTATTTAATATATCAATATATATCAGTATTAGCAAAGCTTAACATCATGAACCATGACAGACATGACTGAAGAGCAGATGAAGACATCATGCCCGGCACTGATGAGAAAATATTACAAGGATCTCACAGCTGAATTTGAGAATGAGATGCTACACCTGAGAACAATATATGGTGCCACATTTCCACACATTCAGTCTCTTCTTGAGCTGCTTAATGCCATCTATACAGGATGCAATTACAGAGCATTTTTGGAGAAGTTTGTATTGGACTGAGGATATTTTGCACACTACCTGTGACTGTTGCTGGGGGTGAACGGGCTTTTAGCAAACTGAAACTGGTGAAAAATTATTTTATATATATAAATGGCGGACGTAGCAGGCAGCGAGGCATCAGCTCCTGGTCCAGTTCCTAAACTATCTCGACTAAAACCAGAGGTGTATAGGACGACAGATGGCAAGGTGATTGTGGAGGATGAACTTCTTAATTTCCTTGCTGTTAAAATTAAAACCTTGAGCCAGGATGAAATTGTGTTGTTGGCCACGAACACATTTGAATCTGAGGATATTTTGCACACTACCTGTGACTGTTGCTGGGGGTGAACGGGCTTTTAGCAAACTGAAACTGGTGAAAAATTATTTGAGATCAACAATGTCCCAGGATAGACTGAACAGCCTAGCTCTTCTTTCTATTGAAAGCCAATTAGCCAAAGGATTGGGCTTTAAAGATCTCATAAGTGATTTTGCTAACATGAAGACCCGTCAGTGGGCATTTACTGGAAAATAAATTCCAGGATTTTTGTTTGAACACATTGTTGGCAAATAAAAATAATTATATGTGAAGTCTGGGCATTTCACTTTTATTATGCTGGCATTTGTATTTGCTCAATATAGAGGTTAAACTAAGATCATATTTATTATCTTGTCTTATAGCATGACAAAAAATGTGTAAGAGAGATATTAAGTAATTGAGCATGGGGGCCCACCTAGAAGACTTGTACCTAGGGCCCACAATTTGGTGCTACGCCCCTGGGAAGAGGGTCATGTGACACATCAAACTTATTGGGGATTTCACGATATAAACAATGGTGTGCTTGGTTTGAACATAACTTTATTCTTTCATGAGTTATTTACAAATTTCTGACCACTTATAAAATGTGTTCAATGTGCTGCCCATTGTGTTGGATTGTCAATGCAACCCTCTTCTCCCACTCTTCACACACTGATAGCAACACCGCAGGACAAATGCCAGCACAGGCTTCCAGTATCCGTAGTTTTAGGTGCTGCAAATCTCACATCTTCACACCATAGACAATTGCCTTCAGATGACCCCAAAGATAAAAGTCTAAGATCGTGAGACCTTGGGGGCCATTCAACTGGCCCACGATGACCAATCCACTTTCCAGGAAACTGTTCATCTAGGAATGCTCGGACCTGACACCCATAATGTGATGGTGCACCATCTTGCTGGAAAAGCTCAGGAACATGCCAGCTTCAGTGCATAAAGAGGGAAAGGCATCATCATGTAGCAATTTCAAATATCCAGTGGCCTTGAGGTTTCCATTGATGAAGAATGGCTCCACTATCTTTGGACCATACCACACCATACCATCACTTTTTTGTTCCAACAGTCTTGGAGGGATCTATCCAATGTGGGTTAGTGTCAGACCAATAGCGGTGGTTTTGTTTAATTTCACCATTCACATAAAAGTTTGCCTCAGCCCTTAACAAAATCTTCTGCGTGAACTGAGGGTCCTGCTCCATTTTTTGTTTTGCCCATTCTGCAAATTCTGTGTGCCGATCTGGGTCATCTGCAGTAGCTGGAGTTTTTAAGGGTGCCATTTGTGAGAAGCTAATATTCGCCGAAGGGGTGTTCGACTAATGCCACTCTCCAGTGACATGCTACGAGTGCTAACCTGTGGGCTCTTGCTGAATAAAGCAAGGACAGCCACTGATGTTTCTTCATCAGTGACAGTTTTCATGTGTCCACATTTTGGCAAATCCAACACTGAACCAGTTTCACGAAACTTAGCAAGCAGTTTGCTAACTGTAGCATGGGAGATGGGTGGTCTTGTAGGGTGTCTTGCATTGAAATCTGCTGCAATGACCCAGTTACTGTGTTCACCAGATATCAACAGTTTAGATCTGCTCCTCACGTGTTAACCTTTCACATGTCAATGGCTGTGAGCAAAGAGAAACTTGTAAATAACTCATGAAAGAATAAGGTTATGATCGAACCAAGCACACCATTGTTTTTCTTGTGAAATTCCCAGTAAGTTTGATGTGTCACATGACCCTCTTCCTGTTGAAAAAAAAAGTTGGATCCAAGATGGCTGACTTCAAATTAGCCACCATGGTCACCACCCATCTTGAAAAGTTTGCCCCCTCACATATACTAATGTGCCACAAACAGAACGTTAATATCACCATCCATTCCCATTGTACTAAGGTGTATCCATATACATGGCCCACCTGTAGAAGTCAGTCTAAAGTAAAGCTCAAACAAATGTTCTGCTACTGGAGTACTGGGAGGCTGTGGTGTTTCTAAAGGGACGTGTGAGCCGGACCAGTTTGCCTGCGGGTCTGGAGAGTGCTTCCAGCAGCAGTGGCAGTGTGATGGGTGGAACGACTGTCCCGATGGAGCTGACGAGACGGGTTGTAGCAACTCCACCTACCCTCCTTTCAGTGAGTCTATCTTATCTGTGACCTCCATCCAAGCGGCTTTTGTCTCCTCTGTCTCTTGATATGGGGGGGGGGGGGGGGTCTGGTTACAGAATCAGGGCACAGAAAGAGCCTCTGCTCAGGTTAACTAATGTTCTCGTTTGAGTGATTACATTAAATAAACAAGGTTAGTTGCACACTGCCTTTCTAAGTTCCTTTCCCTCTAAACTCAGCCTCGCCGTGTGAGATCATCGAGGTGGAGATGTGTCAGGGTCTCAGCTACAACCTGACATCCTTCCCTAACATCTGGCTCTCCATTGTTGACCAGAGAGAAGCCGCCACACTCCTGCGGCAGTATCGGGTGAACCTCTGAAACAGCTTCCACGTTATGAGATCTACTGGTAGCTGATGTTAACTCTTAGCTTTGCCACCAGGTGCTGATGGAGTTGGTGTGCTTCAGGCCTCTGCAGAGGCTGGTTTGTGGGATGTTTCTTCCACAGTGCAGCCCTCATGGGGGTGTCCTCCAGCCCTGCCGCTCTGTCTGCTCTTCTGCAGAACAGCAGTGCAGCCAAGCCCTGGACCTCTTCTCCTTCAGCTGGCCATTCAACTGCCATCTTCTACCTGACTCTCAAGATCCACTGGAGTGTTCTGAGCCCTAAAGTTCCCCCTGTGCTACAAGGGATCACCAGATCTGTTTCCACTGATTTTGGCCAACCCCTAAATAAAGAACCAGTTCAAACAAGCAGTTTTCTTGTGGATGTGCTTTAAAAGGTGCACCAGTAGCTATTTTAACGGTAAAACTTTGAAACAAACGTTAATAAGAGTGCAGTTGAAACTGTTCAAACATCCAAGCTAACTACAGAAAATACAAAATTATGTTTTTAAATATTGATTTATGAAGGGAACAAACCAGTCTGGTCCTGCCTGAACTCACCTGTTTTACGTCTTGGAGGCACCAGCAGTGGCTGCGAAAACAGCTGATGAGTCTTTCATCCCTCTGAAGGACTTCTGTCCTGCTCTTCTCTACAAAATCGTCTCAGTTCAGACACACCAGAGGGTTTCCAGAAGCAGGGCTGGCCTGTTTAAAGTGAAAGGTCAGACGTTCTCCTACCAGAGAGCAGGATTCATGGTTCCAGCAGGTGGTCCAGGTCCTGAAGCAGCAGAGCAGCCCCAAACCATCACACTACCACCACCACGTTTTAGTGTTAGACTCCAGATTAAACAAGATGCACAACTTCCAGATGTTTCTGCTCTGGTCTCGTCAGTCCAAAAATTTGCCCACAAGGTGCTGAGGTCATCAGGATGGGTTATGTAAACACGAGATGGGTCTTTGTTGTTTTTGGTCCTTTGGTGACCTTAGAACCTGCCATTTTACCCTTGAGGGCCACAATCCAGAATGCTTTGTTTCTCTGCACCTGGGTCATTGATTGAATCACCTGTTAATATCCAGTGTGTTTAAGAAGGGAAACAACTAAAACATGAATTACAAACCTCAAGGACCAAAGTTGGAGACCTCAGACGAACCTGAAGAAAAGTGAGGCCTTTGTGATGTTATAGAATTTAATTCCACAGGTCTGGTAGTAATCAGATGGGAGTCCTGCTTCACTAATAACACGATGAGTCACAGAAGTTTCATCTTTTTAACGGCTCTGGTAAGTTAGTTTAAAGAAGGAATTAAATTGTGAGAAATAGCATTGTATCTTTATGACGTAAAATACAAACCAAGTACATTTGTAAAATAAGCTTTATTGCAATATTTAAATAAATATAATGTGCTTTTTTAACATTTCAGTGTTTATAACAGCACAGATGTGACAAACAAATGGACAAAAATCAGCATAATCACACAGGAAGAGCTGTGGGTTAGCTGGTAAACTGGAAGAGCACGGTTCATTTAAAAATCTAAATGTCAACTCCATCAACGAGGGAATATTACATTTCTTCAAATGTCTGCAGCTGGCCACCATCCAACAGGTGAGCTCATGAACCAGACCCAACAAGAGGAAAGAGACTTTTGCAACTGCTAAACTAAATTAAACACAAATTGGAATTCACAGATCAAAGTGAGTGAAGTTAGATTTAACCGATTCCTGACGTGATTTTGCTACACAAAGGCAGAAAGCAGGCGTTTCGTTAATGCTTTAGGCATGGACACCCTTCAGGTGAGTGACAGGTGTTCTAGAGGAACAACAAGTTTCAGGGCTTGGTCCAAGGCGACTGCCGTCAGGCCCCACACCCGATGTTTTCCATTACAGAACACGGGCAGTGTGTATCCAAACTGGTCACCAGAGCGGAAGTGTGTGTAACCACGGTTCTGAGGGTCACACAGGTGTGACAGAGACAAGGTGAATATCTCCTCTACCTAGAAGGAAAACACAAATAAAAATACTTGAATACTTTCAATAAACATGTTTTAAAGCGACAGAAGACCTTTTGGTCTTCTGGTTGTCACTGACATTTAAATTGTCAGAAGGAGAAAAAAACAAGGCTAACAGAGGATGTTCTTGTCATGTTGGGGTTTAAGTGCTTGACCCAAGACATGCAGAATCAACACAGGAAACAAATGTAAATAAGAACAAAAGTTTTATTAAAACGATGAGCAACTAAGGATGTCCCAAACTGGGCGATGCAGGGAGAGCAGGACTGGGCAGCTTGATGACGTTGCATGGTAAGCGGGCAGTGGCTGATGATGAATCTGCTGCAGCTGGTCCGGTTTAGACACCGCTCACCTAGAATGAATACTAGAAGCTGACTAGAGGATGAGCTCACCTCAGACCATGACAGTTCTGTGTGAGGATGGGCGACTTATCGTTCTCTGATCTTCTCTGGGTGTGCCTCAGGGGTCTGTGTTAGGCCCTCTTCTGCTCTCCCTCTACTTTAAACCACTTGGGTAACCTTTTTTAATAATTTATTTTTCAGATCTCTCGATATACCAGACAAATACATAATCAATACATACTTAACCCCTCCACTGTCAGGTGACCCCACCAGGACAGGTGGTGATTCAACAGGCTTTAAAGTTCATCCCTTGGCAGGGGTGATGTGAAAAAATAAAACAAAAAATAAAACTACACCAGGGTCCATCAGACCCCATTAACAATGCATTAAAAAAAGTATACAACATTGGGTCAAAACAACAATACACAAAAACAGTTCATCCACAATAAATTATTTTGTCTTGGCCCCTTGTCCCCTTATCCTCTATCCATCATAACCACTAATGAAAGACAAACAAAACAAAACAAAAAATAAGTAAAAAAATAACCCAACCCTGATTCTAAGACCTCTACGACCTTTATTTTCCAAATGCGTTTAAGAAAAAGAAAAGGTTAGCATATTTCTTCGTATACAGTCACCAGACCGCTCAAGTCATACATTAGCTGTTCATAGGAGACTGTTTCTGACATAGCTAAGTACCATTCATCATATGTGGGGGTATTCTGTCCACTCCAGTGCCTCAACATAACCCTTTTTGTGGTTACAAGTGCAATTTTAAGCCACAGTGTTACATTGTTTCCTATTCCATAATTCTGGTCCAAATAATTAGGAGACACAATGTAGGTGTCAGATCTACTTTAATCCCAGGGTGCTGGTTATCTTTCCCATGACCCTGTTCCAATAAAGAGTCATGTTTGAACAGGTTAAAAACCATACTCCCCTTTTTAATCTTGCACAATTTGGCTGGTGTCCAGTTACTTACCGTGAGGTTAAGTTCCATATGTATGCTGATGATTATTAGGTTTATTTTTCCTAGTGATTGATCAGAACTCTTCTGGACTGTTTCGTTGTCATGATGGCTTTTACTTCTCTGAATTATTTCTAAAAACAGAAGTCATCATTTTTAGACCTAATGATAGGGCGGGCGCTTCATAAACATTTGATCCCCCAGTTTCCGCGCCCCTTGAGAGGGATGTGGCGATCAATCTTGGCGTCAAACTTGATGTAGCTCTAAAGTTTGGCAGTCAGATAAATGCCACCATTAGATCGTACTTCCACCTGCGTCATGTTGTAAAGATTAAACTATTTCTATTGTTTAACCATCTAGAAACAGTAATCAATGTATTTATTACATCTTACCAGGACTACTGGAATTATTTCTATGCTGGAATCAATCAAGTCTCAATGGCTACATTACAAATGGTCCAAAACTCAGTCGCTAGGTTTCTAATGGGGGCCAGGAGACCGGATCTTATCCCTCCTATGATGCCATTTGTTACCCATTCATTTTAGGATTTTTCTTAAGATTCTTGTTTTGGTTTTTAAGTCTCTGTTGGGAACAGCCCCACCACTGAGAGACCATCTAAAGCACATATGTCAGAGTCAAGGTGCATTTTTATGTGGCCCGCGAGATAAATATCAAAAATATATTAAAACTGGCCCGCTGGCCGATTTTACCGCAAATACTACAACTCCCATGATGCTTTGCGGCGCCAGTGCGGAGCAGACGCGCCCCCTCCTTTGTGTTTTTTCAGCGCCGAGGCAGTCAGAGGTAGTTGGGTGTCTGCAGCTCCGCTGTCTCGGGCAAACTACACTCCTCTCACTCAGCGCCGAGTTCACTCAGCTATTTTCTGACGTTTAAGCCCAGAAACGGAGATTCTAGCTGCTCAGTAACGTGTTCATGACTTAAAGAGAAAGTTTTCAAACTAACGTCCAGACAGAGCTGATATAACTCCAGCGAGCAGCGACACGCTCAAACCAGCAGGGCTCTGTGGTTGCTGTGGTTGTGTTTCCTCCCCGACACACAACAACGTGGTCAAGCTGCTCAGACATGTTCATCAGTACAAACCTATGTGAGCACCTGTTGTCATCTAATGTTGTCATTATTATGATGAAGATGAACAAAACAACAGGAGTCTCCTCCTCAGCTCAGATCAACCCCATGATGCAGGTATCTGGCTGGAACAGGTGAGCATCACAGTAAACCAGTGGAGCAAACTGAGCTTTAAATATGTTGGTTTTATGCTCTTTTTCTGCTCCAAAACATGAAAGTTAAACAGGTGAGATGTTGCATTTTCATTTAAGATAAAATGATATTTTTATTTTGTTGTTGGCCCGTGAGAAAAGATTTAACCTACAGTAAACAGGAAGTGGAAAGGCTGCAGATAGATGAATAGAATAGAAAATCCCTTTATTGTTCCTCAGTGGGGAAAGCTAGACGTCACAGCAGCGATGACACGTATTACAGGAGAAAAAAGGAGAATAAAAAATAAGAAAAACGAATAAACAACAAGAAAACATAAATCCTGAAAAGATTTTAAAAATGCTGATTATACCACAAGTAATGAATACCACTGATGTGTTTTATTTGTAACTGACTTGCTCGTGTGTCATTTGGTTATTCTACATTCAGTGTTAATGCAGAAATAAGTTTGTTTCCAAATTTAAAGGTTCAAAATTGCATTTATGTTGATAAAGGAAACGTGCAAATTTGCCGTCACTTTTTCAAAAATATTAAGTTTGTCCCTCGACTCCGTCCCAGAGTTTCATTTCGGCCCCGTGTGAGTTTGAGTTTGACAGCCCTGCTCTAAAGGCTCAGGAACCCTCTGCAGGTGTTCTGGATTCATCAGCTGATTAGAGTGAGACACTGAGCCCAGAATATTGAACCTTTTCATAATATTCTAATTGTCTGACATTAAGAATGCACCTGGGTCACTGATTGCAAAAGCCATAATCATCACAATTATAAAAAATAAAGGCGGAAATATCGGGATTTGTATGGAATGACTCTGTCCCACAGATCAGTTCAATAGTGAATTACTGACATAAATTAACTTTTGAACCATATTTTAACTTTTTCGTTTTCACCTGTGAATAATGGTGAGGGCTATACACCATGGATATTAACATTTGTCCTGAAAGGTGGTTTCTGGTTATTTATACAAATGTTTCCATAAGGGACTAATTCAAAGGCCCTAATGGGATTTTAACAGCTGGATGTCACGTTGAACCTGAGGGGATGTTCTGCTTGTATCAATGTTTGTATCAAGTCCAAAATGCTCTCCTCTATGGGCCGAGTTTTTGCTACAAACGTGTAAAGCAAATAGTATCTACTGCTTCCTGTTCAGGATTTGTTAGAGTAAACAACAGTTTCTAAAGTCTGACTTTCATCCACAACACAGCCCAACATATAGAAACGCTTCGAAAAAGGTCAGTCTGGACAACAACTGACCAAAACATTATAAAAGTGTTGTTTTTTTCTCATAACATAATATGAATGCAACGTTCTGAGCTAAATTATAATGATGATCCCAGATTCATATGAACAGCAGACATCTTTGGTCAAAACCACAGAGCGTACCTCCTCAGGGTTCGGTCTGAATGTCAGCTCCTCTAGAGGCCCGAGGTTCGCCAGCACAGGAGCAATCATCATTCCTGACTGGAGAAGCACAACATATCAGCAGGGGCGTGGTGGCAGAGAAACAACAGAACCAGACCGTTTACGTTCCCTGTCCTGTGATAGAAAGTCCACTAATGGTGATAAAAATGTAGGAAAGGTCATTCCTTCTGAGGAACACCGACTAGAGGATCTGAAAACGTTAGTCTGAAATACCAGAAACTCTAAGTAACAAAAGCACAACTGCCTCTAAATCAAAGTGGATGAAAGAAATAATGAAAATAAACAGATCAAGCATCAATCACCAGGTTTGATTAAAACGTTCATAGATAACTCTAAATAAAACAAAAGAGTAGACCTCACCGCATCCCTCAGAGGCTTCATCACACCCCAAACCTTCTCACTCTGCATGGTAATTCCCAGCTCTTCCAGAGTTTCCCGCAGCGCTGTGGTCACCACGTCTCTGTCGGATGGGTCACTCTTCCCCCCCGCAAAGCTGCAAGAGTTAGAAAAGCCCTGAAACATGGACTAATGTGAACCAGACGGTTTGTGACCTCCCACTAACCTGACATCTCCTTTGTGCCTGCCCTTCAGTGTGCTGGAGCGAAGAGTGAAAAGAAAAGCAGGCTCACCCTCAACCGAGCATAGAGACACCAAGATGGATGCCCATCTCCCCGTGTTCCGTCCTTGTGTTTGACTCGCCCCTCTTCTCACTCGCTCCATGTTATAGAGCTTCCAGTGAGGCAAAAGGTGTTGCCGACACCGGTTTTCGTTCTGAAGCGACAGGCAGTCCCTCCAGGTGTCGGCAACATGAGGAGAGGCCCGATGGACAGCTCTGATTTGATTAAAGGGGCGGCTGGGTGCTTGTTTACAGCAAAACCAGTTCAAAATCCATGGCTTAGGAGCTAACAAACCAACAGGACTGAATGAACTTTGTCTGTGACTTGGATGGTTCTGTAGAAACTTGAACTGGTTGTTGCTGGTGCACCTGAGTGAAATCCACCTGACATGCCATCGTCTTCCCCATTGCTGAGGAATTAAACGGTCCCAAAACGTCCTTGTAAGGTAAGAGACTTGAGGGTTGGGATGACGGCTTAACAAAAGGGTTCTGGAACACCCGTCTGAGTGCAAAACCTCTATCCGCTGACACGTTTTACTGTCTGAATCACAAGAAGACAGCTGATCTGATGAGCGAGCAGTCTTTGTGGATGATGAGGTTCCAATCATGCTTGTGCTTTTGCTGCTGGTTTGTTGGTATTTCCTGTTTTTGACGCGTATTGCTCTCCGACATCCAAATCCAAAGTGTTCTGAAAAGGCAGCAGGGTGGGATTCTCCTAACAGCAGCTGGAGTCTGCTGAGACATGCCCACATCAGGACTTGAGGACTTTTAAACATCCTAAAACAACATACAGAGACATACTGAAGCAGTGTTAAACACACTGGTTTGTTATCATTGTGAAAGATTAATCTCTACTAAAGTCTACAAGCTTTTCTAATGAACAATAAAAACCTGGATTACAGATTAACATGGATTTCTACTTTAATTGACTTTAGCAAATTAAACTAAAATCAAAGACTAATAAAATATCAACATGCAAGTTAGTTAATAATAATAATAATATTTACACATAAAATTTAAAAGTGCCTTACTTGACACCCATGGACACTTTACAGCCATGGGAAAGAAAAATAAAACAATATTACACATTATAAAAATATATATAAACACTAAGATGTAAAAAATATACTTATTTCATTAAAACTATGTGGTAAAAGCTTGTCTGAAGAGGTGAATTTTGAGTTTGATTTAAAAAGTTGGAGCGAGTTGTGCGAAAGTCAGGGGGAAGAGCATTCCAGAGGTGGGGATCAGAGCCGATGGATGCTCTACTCCCCATGGTGACGAGGCAAGCGGGGGTGAGCCAAGAGATGACGAGCAGAAGAGGAAGGAAGTGAGTGGACAGGAGTGGCGATGTGTAGGAGATCACATATGAGCCAGGTTATGAAGAGCTTTGAAAGTGACAAGCAGAATTTTGAAATTATTTCTCTGTTTAACAAACAGCTACAAGAACAGGGCCGTGCAGAGACCTTTGACGGGGCGGGTGCTCAAAGTAAAAAAAAAGGGGCACTTATAGAGCAATCCAACAAGTTAGATAATTCAGATGAGAAACTTGGGTTCAAACAACATAATAAAAATATATCAATTATTGTCATTAGTGTTAATGTTAGTTCATAAGTAGGGGTGGGCCGTTATCGGCGTTAACGCGCTGCGGCAAAGCCAGACTCTTATCGCGCGATAAAAAAATGACGCCGTTAATCTATTCTCAAAGTTGGGTTGGGATATGGGTCGTCTATACTAAGCTTGATGACTTTCACATTGCGCGGATGGATACCTGGTTGGCGTGGATCATCGACATATAACACGCGGATGTCTACGCGCGAAAGAGAACATCTTTAAACGCCAGAGGAATCTTCAAACGTGACGCGCCAACATGGATGCGCTGGGTTTGCTCCAGTGAAAATTTATTTTTAAGAAGCTTCCCAATGGAAACCTTGACAAGACTAAAGTTGTTTGCACCTTGCGCAATGCGGAATTTGTTTACTGTAGAAGTTCTTCCGGTTTCAAGTACCACCTAAACGCTAAGCATCCCTTAGCTAATTTGGAAGGTGCTGGACCAAATGTTGCGCAGGGGAAGAGTTTTTGTCAAACTACTATGTTTGAGTGCAACCGAGGCAAGCCCATCAGTGCAGCTCTATCAAGTAAGCTCACTAATCTCCTTGCTCGGTGGATTGCCACGAGCTGCCGACCCATCAGCGTGGTCGAAGATGATGGGCTCGAGCTTGTTCTCCAGGCGGCCACAGGTGACTCATCCTACAAACTACCTGCGAGGCGAACAATCGTGAGGAAAATACATGACCAGCATGCAACAGAGAAAACCGCGAAAGATGAGAAGTTGGTGGAGGGAACTTGAGTAGCACTGACTGGGGACCATTGGACATCTGTCAGTAATGATTACTGCCTCGGTGTTACTGCACACCTCATCGATGCCAGCTGGGAACTTCACTCCTTTGCTTTAGGTAGGCTGTGTCCTTTTAAATTTCATAATTAACCAATATCACGCGAGAGGGAGTGCTGTTGTGTTGAATATATGCATTTGTGTGATTCATATCATTAATACGTAAATAATCACACCAGTGCTGATGTTTAGCACAACAGCACTCCCTCTCATGTGATATTGTTTTTATACAACAGTTCTAAGAGCAAATTTTCTTATTTAACAATAATAAGCGACATAAGATTATAAATTGTTAGTTTATTCAATCATTTATTTAGCTCTGCTGTGACGTGCGCCGTCTCCTTTTGGCCACACGAGGCCCTCGGTCCGCTGCCTGCACAGCTGCAGGCTGTTAGCTCAATTATGCCTCCCTGTTGAAAGGGAGAGCTTCCTGTCATTCTGGGAGAGATTTTCAGATGGGTGTTGGCACGGAGGTGTTTGCTCTCCTCTCTAGCTCTCCTCGCATCACAGACGTTAAAGTCTCCATTGAGTGGTTCGTTCGTTTAGACTCCTTAGTGGTCCTAGTTCTGTTACCTGAGTGGTATTTTCTTAGTTTGAAACCTTAGTGGTAATTTTGTGTTTGTGTCTATAATAGTAATTCGTGTGTCCTCGATACAGAGAGACTTTGCTCACCCTTTTGGTGCAGTTTTGTGTTTACCGTTTAGCCTTATTCCAGCCTATGTGCTGCGCTTTTAGTTTATTATTAGATATTGTTTTTCTTTATTGGGAAATTCCTTTTGTTTATTGATACCCAGTCTTGGAGGACCCTTTTGTTTCCTTTTCAGCCAAGAGCTTCGTTTTTGTTTAATAAATATCCTATAGAGAACTATAAAAGTGTTTGTTTCATTCCAGTACAACATCTTCTTTACTCCCTTAACCACATCGTGCTCCTAGCGAAGCCGAGGGACGTAAAATCTGCCAACACAAATAGTTCCAACTAGAAAGCTGTTGCCATTTAACACAAAAATAACACAACATAACATTAGAACGCCTGATGTTGTCTGTAAAATGTCCGTGTTGTTGTGCTCCAATATCAGCACTCAAGGAATGTCTCTTGTCCAATCAAATTACTTGGTTAGAACTAACTGTTGTATAATTTAATTTAATTAGCCTACTTATTAATTAGCACAACACCATGAATTACCACCACATTATGTTTGCTTCTTAATGATTGCTAGTTGTTTACTGCTTGTGAACTTATTCTGATCTTTGAATGAATGAGTCATGAACAAATATGGAGGTTAGATTTGGAAAGTGAAATTTTCATCAATAATAATTATTATGTTTTATTTATTAAAGGTGGCGACTGCCTTAGATCCACGATTTAAGGACCTCAAGTGCTTGCCCAGAGCAGAGAGGGAGCCGGTGTGGGTAGAGCTACGTGAGTTGGTGAAGGGACAAGAACCTACTCTGAAGCCACTCAGGGAGGAGAACCCAGAGCCACCCAAGAAGAAAAGAGCCCTTCTACTAATAGGATCAGACTCAGATTCAGATGAGGAGACGCCAGTAGACAACACTGTGGGGAGGTACAAGGTAGAGCCCAGTGCCAATTTAGATCAGTGTCCACTGAAGTGGTGGTCAGAACACACTGCTGTGTATGGTAAGATGGCCCACATTGCCCATAAATATTTGGGGACTCCTGCCACAACTGTCCCATGTGAGAAACTTTTTTCTTTAGCAGGCCATATTGTGCAGAAGAGAAGATCTAGTTTGTCACCAGACAATGTGAACAAGCTGGTGTGCTTGAGTGACTGGTGGAAGAAGGAGAAATAGAGCTTGGACTGATTGACCAAATGCTACTGACTGTAAATAGTTAATCATGACCTATTCTGTAGACCTACAGTGCAGAATTTGTTGTACTGAATAAACAGCTATTAAACACAAATACTTATTGATCATTATTTATTTTCATCATCAGTTATCGTAGTAAAACTGCTTTATCAGTCTGTGATGCATTATTGAAACAAGAAATATGCCTCCATTCTCAACGACTTGCTTTTATTCATTATCTAGGTAGCACACAAATATGTCTTTGGCAGAATTTGAATGAGCCATTTTAATCTAGATTAATCTAGATTAATTCCAAGATTACAGTGAGATTAATCTAGATTAAAAAAATTAATCTATGCCCACCACTATTCATAAGTAATAGTTTTAGTTTTTAAAGCTGACTTCTATCTAGAGATGTTACAACCACATTTTTGCCCCGATCCGAGTCCAAGTTGTTTGATTTTTGATTATCTTCCAATACGGAGACTTGTTCTGATACCAGGTGGTGATGCAACGCATTATAAAAGAAGAAAGAAGTCGTCCTTCTGTCTGTATTTGTCATTTTGTTATTTTAGTCTGAAAAGGTCACTCATTCAGGAAGTACATTTAACAGAAATCAAGATACTTTATTGCTATTGCACAGGTGTACAACCAAAGATATTTTGCACCTACTAAAGACAGCTCTAGTAAGAGGTAGTAAAATAAAAGTAAAATAAATGCACCACAGAGACTTATCCAGTGTGATCTACAGCTATGTTAGCTGAGATCTTTTTCCTGTCTGTAGAAAATTCTTGATCCCATTCCATGATCTCACTGAACTTAACACTAAACATGAGAGCTCTGCTACCAACCTCACAACAACACCCTTTACACAAAGGCACCATCATCACATACGTGGCAGGAGTCTCAGAGAAACTTAGAAGAATCTTCTCCAAACACAACATCCCGGTAAACTTTAACCCCACAACACCCTCAGACAGAACCTGGTCCATCCAGAAGACAAAACACCCAAACAGAAGCTCAGTGGGGTCGTTTATGCAGTCCAGTGTAGGAGCACTGTCCAGATGTTTACATTAGAGAAACTAAACAACAATTACACAAGAACATAACAACACAGGAGAGCCACCTCTTCAGGTCAAAACTCTGCAGTCCACCTCCACCTGAAGGACAAGGGACACACCTTTGAAGATGACAAAGTCCACATTCTGGACAGAGAAGACAGATGGGGAGAGGAGTAAAAGAAGCTATCTATGTCAAAACGTGAAAAACTCACTTTAAATAGAGGAGGGGCTTAAATTTTACCTTTCCAGTACCTATAATGCAGCTTTGAATCTCATTCAGTTTCAGTATAGGTCACACCTTCCTGCATCTAATCAACATGATGACTCACCATCAATAGAGCTCTAGGAGTTGACGTCACATCTCCCGGCATGCAACAGTTCAAATCGAAACAGCGCCATCTTGGCAGGCAGAAGCCCGCAGCTGGACTATTTGTTATTGTCAGAAAACTCAATCAAACGGGAAATATGGTAGATTCCTGTTGTGCCCCAGGATGCAGAACAGACGCGGACGA